AGATGCCAGTTCCTGCATTCTGGTGTACTTTGACAAGTTAAACATATATGTTTACCTACATAAATAAACTTTTGATTTAATAACTATTTTAGAGAGCATGGCCCACAAAGTAGCCTGACCAACAGCTCTCCTTGTGTGAATAGAGAACGGTCTGCTTCTCTCATGCATCCTACCCCGGTCAACAACTGCCAGCACTAACCACTTCGGGGGTTCGAATCCACCAGCAGTCACATGCTGAAGTGTCCCTGGGCAAGACACTGAACCCCTAGTTGCCTCTGATGTGTGTCCCATCAGTGTATGAATGTGATAAAGCACTGATTAGTCTCTTCAGAATGATTTGTTCGGTTAGCTTTGTAGAGATCTAGTAGAATGTTGTATGAATGGGTAAATGAGGACTCAGATTGTGTTGTAAAGCACTTTGAGTATCTTGAAATCAGAGAGAAAAGCGCTACATAAGTACAGTCCATTTACCATTTACCATTTACTAACGTAGCGCTAATCTAGTGCACAACACAAAGTTGTCCTCCCCACGCCCCATCTACAAAAACCTCAAAGAGATGAACGCCCCATTGTTTCCCCTAGATCCCTTGCCAAGACGGGGCGCTCATCTCTTCTGTGATTTTTGTTGGGGGGGGGGGGGGGTGTTAATGGATGGAGACATGCCCTAAGCTGCACGCTGTTTAAACCAACAGTTTTAGATGGGTGGGTGGGGGGGGGGAGACACAGAGACAGTCATGTGCTGTTTGCACTGACAGCTTTAGAGCAGGGTGTGGGAGAGGAGAGAGACAGAGACACATCTCAGCTGCACGCTGTCTGAACTGACAGGGTTTTTTTTTTTTGTGTGGGGGGGGGGGGGGGGGGGGGAGAGACAGACACACATCTGAGCCGTGCTCTGTTTGTCTGTTTGTTTGGGGCGCTTGGTTCTGTTGATGGGGCAGGGCGTCCCGCTTGTATAATGGTAGGGGAAACACTGTGCCCTGCCAAGGCAAGTGACCTAGAGGAAACACTGCATGTGGTGTGGTGAAATGTTGGTAACAAGGAAAGCCTGGAGTGGACTTCTAGTGGTTTGAGTATTCTACTATTAATCAAATGGAATGGATTTGTCCACAAAGAAATAGCAACAGCGCTGGGTGAACTAATATTTCCTGGTAAATGTGAGGGGGTCCAAACAAATATTTTTTAAATGTGAGGGGGACATGTCCCCTTCACATACAATTGATGCAACGCCTATGGTTACAAGCCAGTTTTTGTTTTTGCTAAGGTCAGTTAGCTGTTGTATCTTGAATCAGGCTGACTTCAAAAGTTATTCAGTTTTCTCAGCAAGAAAAAAAGCATCCGAGCTGAAGCAGGTTCAGTATCACTTTGGCTCTTAAATGGTCAAACACAAAGCTAAATATTATACCTTGGGAGTGTAAGATGCTAAGTGTATGCAAATTCACCTTCCGAGTCATCAGAAATAAAGCAGGTGTTAGAAAATGGTTTTTGCTTACTGACATTTTCATCAGTTCTGGGTTTCCCAATAAGCCACACCAGTCAGAAGGAGACTAATCTTTTACATGAAATGCCAAAAAAAATAGGTCTGCTGGGTAAGAGTCTTTGCATGGACACAGACTTGTTTTTATTGTTTCTACATGTGAATTAAAGAGGATCTGCTGTCTCAGTGTGTCAACTCAGAGTTGCACTTCTAGCTCTCCAGATGTACTCCTCTCTGGTGCACAGCTGCATTCCACATGTTTTCACGCTGTCAGACAATACACTTATATTCCTTTCTCTAGCAAGGCTGAGTCAGGTCCTCTGGACGGATTCTTCTTTGTTCAAACATTTCATCTTTTATCCTAAAGACTCCTTCAGTCATAGTTATTGGGCGTGCATCAGGATGTATTCCTTTCTGTTCACAGAGCTCTTATGTTTGTGGTGATAGTGGTGTTGGTGGCAGATTTCCATTTATCCTTTGCTCTGTCCCACCTCCCGCCCCCTACCCCCCTAACATCACAGCAATAGCACTTTGGCTCTACTTGGTCCACAAATGTCTAGTTGGGTAATGTAAGGAATGCAGGGGTGTGTGTGTGTGGGAGTGGAGGGTCTGATCTGGCAGGGTCTGTTATAGTTTCACAGTACACGCAGTCATTTCCATAATAGCTCTCAATCAAACCAACCGCTCCTGGATTCTGCTTGCGCCAGATTCCTGTAGATAAGCAGATCGGGGAATCTGTTGAGTGCCACAGACCCCCAAGTAAGAGCAGGTGCTGCTAATGTAATGAATTTCAGCTTGTATTCTAAAACAAAAGGGCAGGGCTGTTGATATTTCAGTATTTTCCACAACTAAACCTTCCCCTTTGTATTGCAATCAAATAACTTTTCTGAGAAGAATCCAAGAAAAATTCATCCATTCAACCTTTATTTATACAGTTTAATCCCATTGAGCCTTGGGGACTCATTTACAAGAGAAACCTGATTTTAACAGAGTGATGACAACAGTGGACAACAAAGACAACAGTAGACAATCGTAAAGGATGTGTATAAGTTGAGAATTACAAGTGAACATAAAATGGTATTTAAAAAATGTAACAAAAAAACAGCTAAGTTGTAAGGCGATGGTGGAAATTAAAAACAAAAACAGATCTGTATTAGTTTTTCCCATGAACTTAGCAAGTGTTTGAAAAATGTCCAAAAAAAAAGTCCCCAGATTGAATTTTATTGCGAAATTGCCCAATTTAGACTTGCGACCCATCCAGGGTGTACCCCGCCCCTCGCACAGTGATTGCTGGACATGGGCACCAGCGACCCCCGTGACCCAAAATGGAATAAACGGGTAAAGAAAATGGATGGATGGATGGAATTGCCCAATTTAGGACGTCTTTCAGAATGTAATGCATGACAACAAATGATTAGGGGTCAGGTGATCAAAGGTTGATTACCGACAGTTCAGTTAGTCTTTACGCCCAATAAATTGATTATTGAAAAAGACACAAGGCTGAGCAACTTATGACACATTAGACCACTGACAAATCCCTAATAAACAAAATCCTATAATCAATTGAATTCAAATGAATTCAGATCAATTCAATTTCTTCTGTTTCAGTTCAAGTCTTTTTTCATTTTGTTTCAAGTCAGTTTAATACAACTTGGTTTGGATTCTGTTTAGTTCATTTAAATTCAGTTTGATTTATCTAGTTTAGTTTAGTTTCAATTTAATTCCCTTTTAATTCAGTTCAGTTGGACTTAGTTTGGTGATTTGTATTTGTTTTGTTTCATGTCAATTAAAGTCAATCAGCACCACACAAAAAGTAAATCAGATGAAATTCAGTACTTTTTATGTTGTTCAATATATTTTATTCCAATATCATTTTCTACAAATATTACATGTTATTGACTAAAGGTGAATACTGTGAATAGTAAATCTCTCGGATACAGTGTGAAAAATGGGTCATGCAAAAAAAAAAAAAACTATTAATTTCTAAATTTCAAACAAAACAAAACTTCATCCATCCATTATCTTCCACTTATTCTGAAGTTGAGTCACGGGGGCAGCAGTTTGAGCAGAGAGACCACCTCTTCCAGCTCTTATGGGAGGACCCCAGTGGTGTAGTCTACGTGATATGAGGGTATACAAGTATACCCACTAGAAAAACTTAAGAATTTCAGTATACCCACTTAAAAGTGCCCAATGATGCATTACATATCATTAGGCACATGTCATTGATATGTTAAACGGCAGTTAAACGCTTCTGTAACAATCTATTGGTATGCAGAGCTTGTGTATTACATTCACTTATCCAGTGAGTTATTGTATAATTAATACTTCTGTACATTTACTTAATACTTGAACATGTTTTGCTTTGATACTGTTTTATAAATTCCAAAACATGTCAATACAAAACCAACTGTTGTACAAAGTTTGTTCTGTGTTTATTCAAATATAATCATCAGAGAAAATTGGAAATGTTCAATATGCTTAAAGCTCTAAATAAATTGATGATTACATTGTACCAACCAGTGTACTTTGGCTTCAAGCACAGTAAACGGACCGACCGCGGCAATATTAGTTTTACATTGAACGTTGGACATATGCGCTCTGTGGCTTCAGTGGTGTCCAATGTCCAACGCAAAACTAACTTTATCACGATATACCCACTACAAAAATGTAAACACCACTGGATTACAGTACAATAAAAAGTAAAAATAAAAACCCTTACCAGATGCCCGAACCAACTCAACTGGCTCCTCTCGATGTGGAGGAGCAGTGGTTCTACTCCGAGTCTCTCCCAGATGACTGAACTTCTCACCGTATCTAAGGGAGAGTCCAGCTAACCTGCAGAGGAAACCCATTTCAACCAGTTGTATCTGCGATCTCATTCTTTTGGTCAGACTACGTAGACTGACCTGTAAAAAGAGAGCTCTGCTCCCTCTTCACCATAAAACTTTAAATTAGTAAAAACTAAATATCCACAGCTGCATCATGTCTTAATGCATCTTGAATAAAACAATCCATTGATAATTTATTAAATCAGTGTGTTGTGAGCTTTGCAGGCTGTAGCATTTATATAATTTCTTCCAAGCTGTAAACCTCATAGCTTCATCCAGTCCATTGGGAACCTTTATTTTGCTTTAAAGGAGCTGAATTTATAGGAAATATTTTCTTCATAGGTCTAATTTATTAATTTAGCTGCAACGATTTGCAGTAACACTGAGTATTCAGTGGTGATGAGTCTCCATCCACCGCTCTCTTTTTCTCACTCTCTCTGCCAGGTAACGGTTTTACCTCCACGTGGACGCGGCTGTGTCCGTACGCGCGCCCCCGCCAAGTCCTACGTCAGCGCGCTCGCCCCCTTCACGCGCGCTGGTTAAAAAGAAGGGAGGAAGGAGCCCAGGAAAACATGTGAGCTGCTCTGAGGACTTTAGTGAGACACAACTTTTTATTTTTCTGATGTTGTTTTGTCCCGTGCACGCACACACGCCGCCGAACCGCGCCGTGCTCGTGAGGAATTACATCTGAGAGGAAGCTCTTCTCTGGGTTTTAACTTTTCTTTTTGGTTCATCAGGATAATTTTTTTTTTTTTTTTTTACTTTTTCTTGTGGCATTTTCTTATTTTGGCTGGATACCATATAGCCCAATGGGAAGAAACTGAGCTTATTTAATTTTAAACCCCTCGTGTCAAAGTGATTAAATTAAACGGACAGCTGCGTTTATAAACCACACATCACTTTTGGAGTAACGTAAACAAGCACAACCACCAAACTGCACCTTTTACAAAAGAGGGGGCATATAAATACAGAATATTTTCCAAGTTGTATGCCTTTTTTTTTAGAACTATGAAGCATTTGCAGTTTGTGCTGGTGCTGGTGATCGCGGTCAACGTGTGGGAATGTGGAGACGCGCAGTTTAGCGAGAGAGAGGAGCTGAGCCCCAGGAGGAGAAGATGTTACGACGGAAGCCTGCCCAAGAGGCTGAAGAGAAGGGAGCGGAAAGTGTTTGACAGCAGCGTGGGCAGCAGCAGCAGCGACGTCTGCCACAGACTGTATCCACGCGTGTCCTGCTGTCCCACCAGAAGAGCCGCCTATCAGATCCTCCACCGCAGGGATGCCAGGGTGAGTTAAATCCCCGTCACCACACGCGCTGTATTTCACTTTCTCTCACGTGAATGCACCGCGGTGACGCATTCGAAGACCTTTGAGTGTTTTACGCCTG